TAATCAACTGGATAAAGTGGTCTCCCAAGCTTTACATTTTAAAAGGCTTATATACTTGAAGAACATGAATGCATCTAATATACAAAGAAGCCAGTGTGTCACAGTCACACAGATGTGCTTACATTAACTAAGTTTAAATTTTAAGGTAAGATGTAGAATCCATAGTGTACAGTAACAATAATCACAGGTCTGCATGGATTAGCTGTAGTAGCAAAAATAAAAAGATAGCCTTAAATCTTATGAGTTGAGGATACAGTGTTAATGATCAGAAATAGACTTAGCAAAGCAAACAGATAAAAGGGAGATAAAGGGGAGCACCTATTGGTTACCTTGCTGGTAAACCTACATAAAGTTCCATTTTACAAACTTTTATATAACATTTAGACAAGGATCATACAAATCTGGTTCTCAGGTGTATACATATCTCTGGTTACATATACTTAGGACATCAACTATATTGTAATAACCTAAAAAATAGTTGTTTGTTAAATCAGTTATGAAGTAATCATTTAAAAAACTTTAAAACAGGTACAAATCCTAATTCCTTTGACTTAGTTTCCCTAAGTAATAAGACCTAATAGATACAAAAAAATTATCCTGATAAAAGCAGATCAGTGTTCAGACTTTTCTTTCCTATCAGTACATTAAAATTTGAATAATTTTAACTGATGGTGCCAACTATAGTCAATTCAATCATATACACAACCTTTTTGAAATGTACCTTCCATAAACCTTTTGCAACTTAAATATCTATAACTTGTTTACATCCTTAGTTTTGTCCTCACTTTCATCTTGGACTTTAGCACAAGAATATTACTTTACTATACAAAATACTTTCTCATTCAGAAACATTTCTTTTACCTTCTAATTTCCCATACTGAAATATGTGAATTTTATTTACACACAAATTTCATCCTAGGAGAGAGATCAGACAATCTGGCGTATACAAAAATTGTGCCTTAGGGCCTGGCACTGTGGCACATGTCTGTAATCCCAGCAGCTCAGGAGGCTGAGGCAGAAGAATCACAAGTTCAAAGCCAGCCTTAGCAAAAGTGGGGTAGTTTTTGTTTGTTTGTTGTTTTTTTTAAGAGAGAGGGAGAGAGAATTTTTTAATATTTATTTATTTATTTATTTTTTAATTATCGGCGGGCACAACATCTTTGTTTGTATGTGGTGCTGAGAATCGAACCCAGGCTGCACGCATGCCAGGTGAGCACACTACTGCTTGAGCCACATCCCCAGCCCAAAAGTGGGGTGTTAAGCAACTCAGTGAGACCCTGTCTCTAAATAAAATACAAAAAAGGGCTGGGAACATAACTCACTGGTTAAGTACTCCTGGGTTCAATCCCTGGTACCTAGAAAAAAAAAAAGTGCATTTCGGCAGCTGATGGAAGTGGGTCCGTATGACTGGAGTATAGGGTAGATGTGGGATGGTGAGAGGAGTATAGAGCTTGGGTGGGGGCTGATAGAACCTCATATTGTTAGAGAATGTGGCCCTTTTTCTGAGGTGCTAGCAAGTTGTTGAGAAATAAACAGGAGATGCTAGCATCCAATTTGCTTTTAAGAAAAATAACTTTGGTAGGAGGAAGTAGCTGGAAAGAGTCTGGAGCTTTCTAGGAGAAAGCTCTTGCTAGAGGAAGGTGATAAGCCGTGGCAGGTGTGAGATTGAATAGGACAGTCTGGGCAGAGGTTTACACGTGTATTAAGGACTAGAAGCCAAGGGGAAAACCAGTATTTTTGTACCCATACCTTGAAAAAGTACTCATATACTTTATCCTTCATTTTTTTAAATGTTTATATCCCATTGAACACTTATTAATTTATTGTCTGGGGCTGGGGATGTGGCTCAAGCGGTAGCGCGCTGGCCTGGCATACGTGCCGCCCAGGTCGATCCTCAGCACCACATACAAAGATGTTGTGTCCACCAATAACTAAAAAATAAATAATAATAATAATTTATTGCCTGGCTTTACTTTTGTTAGCATCTAGTGTCCACATTAATCTCTTACTTCAGCCCTTCTCAGATTTCCCAGCTCTGCTGTCCTCTTGCTGTGTGAGTTATTATCAGTAGATTTCAGTGTCCTCTCATAATTTCAGAGAAAACAGTGGTCTTCAGGATCTCTGCAACTGCCAAAATAGAAATTTTTATGCTTGTGCTACTTACAGACTTTGTTTCCTGGTAGAAAACCACCTGTGTAGCAGTAGCTCTGCTGTGTTGCCTTATGTCAGGGAACACAGGAGGTAGACGGGCTGTAGGTAAGGAGTGCATGAAGGGCCATATCCCTTTGATGTGTATCAGACGGCCATAGGAAATGGACTGAACTTTTCCTGGCCCCTTCCATATACTCACAAATATGCACATGAATTTATAGTGACAGCTCATCTTTGCATTATGAACAAAATTTGTCTTACTGGAAATTGTGGGATTGGCAAACTAAGGAGGAAGAGACTTGAAGCAGTCAGAAGACTAGGACCTTTAAGCATGGACTTTTTTTTTTTTCCTTTTTTTTTGGTATGGGGGATCGAACCCAGGAGCACTTAATCACTGACCCTCATCCCAGCCCTGTTTTTTTTGTTGTTGTTGTTGTTTTTTTTTTAATTTTTCTGACAGGGATACACGAAGATGCTTAGGGCCTTGCTAAGTTACTGAGGCTAGCTTTGAACTTGAGATCCTCCTGCCTCAGCCTCCTGAGCCACTGGGATAACAGGCCTATGCCACTGCACCGTGCTAATTACAAAAAACTCTTTCTCAGTGCCAAAGTTTTTGTTTCTGATACCCCTGAGCCCTGGGGCAGCTGTGCTGCCAGGAGTGGGTAGGTGGGTCGGGGAATGATGTGGCTAACTCTGGATAGCTTTTTCCAACTCCTAGATGGCTGCTTTCAGGCGGATTTCCATAATGACCAAAGGCAGGAAAAACTGCCCACAGGTAGTATTACATCAGGGGCAGCTTTGGGTGAAGTACATACTACATATCCATATATATAGTACATATATGAGTTATTTCTAAATATATATGTATGCATGTGTATGTGTGTGTATGTGTATATAAACTTAAGAGGTGAATCTTTCAAACTATTTAAAGTATACCCAAAATCTGACCATATCTCAGTGCCCCAACTGAGCTAAGTCCATATTCATCCACCAAGAGAACTCATCAAAACCGAAGTAGATTCAGGTTTACTGAGAATAAATTCCAAAGGCCTGTCCTACTTTGAAGTCTCCTGGCCCCTGCTGCCTCTTCCCACTCTTCTCCCCTGAGGCTACCCTGGGCCACTTTAGCCTATTAGATGCCTTTTTGCTGCTTCCACCTGTCAGTGTGCCCTGGACTTGACAGGTTTGCACCTGCTACACCTTCTACCTGGATCTCCTCCCCTCAGCTATGACTTGATCCCTCTCTTCCTTTTGGTCTTTGTTCAGAGGTCATCTTATCCTCAAAGGGCTTTTTCTGACCACTGAATATAAATAGCCCCTGGCTTCTGACTTTACCTTTACCTTGCTTTATTTCCTCTTACTGCTGTGCTTTTCCTCACCTGTTTTCTGTTTCTTTCTGGTTCCCTTAGAGCCTGCCTGGTTGGGAGGGCTCAGTCATTGTTTGCTGAATGACTAGTGGGAGGCAGCTGAGGCCAGAAGAGGGAGCAGCAGATAAATATCTATGTCTCAGTCAAGGCACTTGACTGTTTCAGGCAACCCCTTTTCCGCTACTTTACTCAGCCCTTCCAGAAGAAAGAAACACATTTAGGATGTTAGTGAGGAGCAGTCTTTCTCATGATCTCAACTGGAATGTTACATTCAAACATATGACATTGTTTCTGTAGGTTGTCATAGATGAAAATCAGCAATTTATTTATTTATTTCTCTTTCCTTTCCCCCTCCTCATTCTTCCCTTCTTCCCTTCCTCCATTCCTTTGTCTTTTTCTTTCTTCCTGCCTACCTTCCCTCCCTCCTTCCCACTGTGCTGCTGAGGCTGGCACAGTCTTAATCCTCCTGTCTCAGCCTCCCAAGTAGCTGGGATTATAGGCATGTGCCACCACACCCAGTTTTAATATCAGCAATTTCAAGTGGCTTAGTATAATAGCTTTTAGTATATCATAATGTAGAGGGTCCAGATACTAACAGTAACTTTCTAGAAGTTATTAGGCTGATGAATTGCCTGATAATTAAGTCAGTGTGCTAAGGGCCTTGTTTGCTTTATCTTGCTTAATCCTCGTAACCTTGGTAAGATAGAGGTGGTATTATTCCATTTTATGAATAAGAAAACAGATTCAAAGAAGCCAAGTAAACTTAGCCAGGGTTGTAATAAGTGGGGATCAAAAATGTGAGAGGTAGAACTCAGGCCTGACTAGAATTGTGGTGCAGAGAACAGGCAGTGAAGTGCTTCTGTATGACACTAATAAGAGTGCTACTGCCACTGCAGTAAGCTCTCCCAGAGCTCTTAGCCAATGTGTGTTTTAACAGCACAGGGTTACATTCCCAGAGCTATCAAGGTGGCGAACCTGGTGGAGACACATGGTGTCTGTGACAGGCACAGTTCTGGGAGTCCTTTGGGAACTGTATACTAGTCTCTTTCTAGGCTTATTTTCTCTTGTATGTGAAACAGATGATATCAATTCCAAAATGTGCTGTGAAGATTAGTGGCACCTGATGAGATTTTTCAAACTTCTACTTCTGTCATTCCCTTTAATATAAAAATATGTAATTCTAGCCAGACACAGTGGTGCACTCCTGTTATGCTAGCAGCTTGGGAGGCTGAGGAAGGAGAATCACAAGTTCAAATCCAGCTTCAGCAATTTAGTAAGGCCCTAAGCAACTCAGTAAGACCCTGTCTCTAAATAAAATATTTAAAAGGGCTGAGGATATGGCTCAGTGGTAAAGCATCCCTGGGTTCAATTCCTGGTACAAAAAAAAAATGCTCTATTCAATTAAGAATCTGAATCAAATCAAGCCCCGTGGCATGTGTTACACTGAAAGAAGACTAAGCTTTCACTGTTGTCTTCACACAGAGCAAACCAACCTAGGATGGCTGATGCAGTAGGAAAGCAGGCTCTGGCCTCTGGTTCTCAGCAGAGCATGTCTGCAGACAGGAGGCAGCACCCTTCCCTGCCAGGTACCTCTGTGTTGGTCAGGAATTTTCTACTTTGACCTTTAGCTCAAACTTGGCATGATCGGCATATGTAAATGTTGGTGACTTGTCCTGAGGAACTACAGAATGGCCCTTTGCTCCCAGATTAGCAAAAAATCTTTAATGAGAACTGGAACTTGTTCACATACCTATTTTTTAATTTATGCTCAAGTAAGGATAATGTTTTTTTCCTTGAAGTGGCTGTGTTTCCTTTTTGCTAATGGCTAAATTTTGTTAATTGCCTACCCACCATCAGCATCTCTTCTTTAAAGAAATGTATATTCAGATCTTTTGCCAATTTTTAAATTGGGCTATTTGCCTTTTTCTTGTTGAGTTCTTTTTTAAGAAGGACAGAAACAGTCAGGGACAGGGCTTTAGAAATGACAGAAGATATTAAAGTTAGATTGCAGTTTCTAACTTGGCTTCCCAGCTTGTAAGCCTAGTGAAAAAATGTGGTTGAACTCAACCTTGTAGTCCCAGCACTTGGACTGGGAGGAGGAGCATTCAAGCAGCGGGGTCACTTGAGCCCAGGATATGGAGGCCAGCCTGGGGTACATGGCGAAATCTGTCTTTAAAAAAAAAATACGGTAAGGTGGACCGCTGGCACAGGAATGTCAAGGGACAACTGGGGGAGGTCTACTCAGGAGATGTGTTGTGTTCTGTTAAATGAGTCCAAAGATTTGGGGCTCAGGAAACCTGTTCCAGAGGTTTGGTTGTGGCTGGGCTTTGTTTTCTTTCTTCCTGAAGAAACACTGCTGTGGAAATCCCTATGCCTGGTTCTCTTTCATTAGTGTAATGGGAGCTGGGCCACAAGCTATGAGAACATCAGCTTTGTAGCTTCTTCAAAGTGTATCCCCTTGGGGCTAGGGCTAGGGCTCAGTGATAGAGTACTCCCCTAGCATGTGAGACATTGAGTTCCATCATCAGCACCACATAAATGTAAAAATGTGTCCATTTAAAAAAACTAAAAAATAATATTTAGGGGCTGGGGATGTGGCTCAAGCAGTAATGCGCTCGCCTGGCATGCGCGGGGCGCTGGGTTTGACCCTCAGCACCACATAAAAATAAAGATGTTGTGTCCCCTGAAAACTGAAAAATAAATATTAAAAATTCTCTCTAAAAAATAATATATCTCCCCGGTAAGACAGGAGGCTCTTTCTTTCAAATCCCCTCTCTCATCCCTTTTGTCCTCTTAAAAAAGGAGTCAACAATAAAGACACATAACCTTATTTATTTATTTATTTTGCATTACTGAGGACTGAACTCAGGGTGCTCAACCAATCAAGCTACATTGCCAGCCTTTTTATTATTATTATTATTATTACTACTATTACTACTATTATTTGGTACCAGGGATTGAACTCAAGAGGTTCCAGCCCCAGCCCTTTTTATATTTCATTTAACAGTGTCATTAAGTTGCTGAGGCTAGCTTTGCACTGGGATCCTCCTGCCTCAGCTTCTCAAGATGCTGGGATTACAAGGATGTGCCCCACACCTGCTATCTTTTTTATTTTTATTTTTATTTCTTTGAGACAGGGTCTCACCAAGTTGCTTAGAACCTCACTATTGCTTAGGCTGGCCTAGAACTTGTGGTCCTCCTGTCTCAGCCTCTCGAGTTGCTAGGATTACAAGCACATGCCAGCACACCCAGCCAAGTGGCCTGTTTGAGTCAGCTTTTTCTTGCTGCTATGACTAAAACGTATATTTGGGGGCTCATGGTTTTAGAGGTCTCAGTCCATAGATAGCAGACTCCATTCCTTGGGACTCAAGATGAGGTAGAACAACATGGTGGAAGAGTGTGGTGGAGACAAGTGGCTCACAGGATGATCAGAAAGCACACAGAGACTCAACTAGCCTGATACAAATATATACCCTAAAGCCACACCCACAATGCCCACCTCCTCCAGCCACACCCCACCTGCCTTAAATCACCACTCTGTTAATCCCATCAGGTGATTAATTCACTGATTTGGTTAAGACTCTCATAACCCCATCATTTCTCCTCTAAACCTTCTTGCATTGTCTCACGAGAGCTTTTTGGGGACACCTCACATCCAAGCCACAACATAACCTAATTTAAAATTTTAATGGGCAAGGTGTGACTTTTTTCCTTCCTTATGTTGAGCAGTGTGGTAACTCCCCTCTCCACTATACTGGGCCAGTGAAAACTGCATGTGGAGAGGGCTTACCCCCTCCCAGGAAAGGGGGTGCTGTAGAGTGATGGTCCCCTTTGCTATGATGGTGCCTTTTGGTCTCCTAACAGGCAGATGTTTCTGGAGCCCATGAAGCCTGAGGAGCCTTTCATCTCTAAGAGATCAGGATAGTAAACGCCTGGATCCTCAGAAGACCTGCCAGCTCAGCACAATGTCAGGTAGCAGGGCCTGGGCCCTCACCAGGAGCCAGAGAGTGGTACTGACTTCCATTTTCAGAAACAGCCATCTAGATAAAAGAGATGGAGAAAGGGAAGGGAGGCTTCTGGTTTGGGGCTGTCTGGGACAGATACTATAACTCTTACCTGCTCAGGTCTCCAGTTTCCCTCTTCCCTGCCATTTCTTTATGAGATGGAGGTTGGGGCAAGGACATGGGGTTTGGTTATGTTGGGGGACAAGCTGCTGCCTTCTCCCTTCTTCCAGAAGTATGTTCCTTTCTAGGGTGTTCTTCCCATTCCTCCTTCCCCCTCAGTCCTACTGTAGATGGCCCATTCCCTTTAATGCTGGCACTGCACTCTTGGAGGGGGTGGGGTTTCTGACATGAATTTTGCCTCTGGGTTTTCTTAGATGTTCTCTCCCTGGTCCTTTTTGTTGTAGGAAGCCACATACCTTCTGCTAGTGGCCCTTTCTCAGCCTTGACTCCAAGCATATGGCCCCAGGAGATCCTGGCCAAGTATACTCAGGTACAGCAGTCAGTGCAGCCAGGCACCCTCCTGCTGTGCTCCTGTGCTGTGGCATGAAGGGACCCACCTCTGCAGGCTGCCCAGGAGTGGGTGGGCAATTTCACAATGTTCACACAGGCTCACAGGGTCACTACCAGAGATGGCATCTTAGTTCTACGTGCCTGTGTGAATCAATCATTAGGTAGGAGGAATAGTATTTTGGGACATGGAAATGCATGAAACATATGTTTTGCATTGATCTTAGTAACCTTTGAACTCTGAGAACAACAAAGAAAATGCTCAGAGCAGGTAGTGACCCCTGTGGGTGAGCGATGACCAGAGAAAGCCTTTTTGAAAGGGTAGCCTTTGATCTGGGTGGAAGTTAGCAGTTAGCCACGTGGGTGGCATCTTTTGGAAACTGGCCCCAGGCTGGGGGATAGACAACTTATCCCTGTTCCTGGTTCTAGAAGGAAGAGTCAGCAGAGCAGCCAGAGTTCTGCTACGATGAGTTTGGTTTTCGGGTGGACAAAGAAGGTAAGATGGAGTCCCCTAGGTGTTCTTGCTGATGTCCTTGTGTCCACAGCACATGACCTCTGAGCCCCTTTTGTCACGTTCCAGTAAGACTCAAAGACAGAAGCACATAGGAGAGTGCTACTGTTATAAGTATATGGAGACCTCTGTTTTTTTTTCTTTCTACATTTTTTAATTGGTGCATCATATTTGTACATATTAATGGGATTTGTTTTTATATATTTGTGTGTTGCATAAAATTTAACAGAGACCTCTTTTAAATACTGATCTTGCTAGGTACAGTGGTGTTCATCTGTAATCCCAGCTACCACTAATCCCAGCAGGATGCAAGTTCTTGGCCATCCAGGGCAATTTAGTGGGACCCTCCTCAAAATATAAAGTAAAAAGGGATGTGATAGCTGGGCACTATGGCGCACACCTGTAATCCCAGCAGCTTGGGAGGCTGAGGCAGGAGAATTGCAAGTTCAAAGCCAGCCTCAGCAACAGTGAGACGCTAAGCAACTCAGTGAGACCCTGACTCTAAGTGAAATATAAAATAGGGCTGGGGATGTGGCTTAGTGGTTGAGTGCCCCTGGGATGTGGCTCAGAGGTTAAGTGCCCCTGAGTTCAATCCCTGGTACCAAAAACCCCCCCCAAAAAAACAGGGAGGATGGGATGTAGCTTAGTGGCAGAGCATCCCTGGGTTCAATCCCCAATACCACCCCCAAGAAATATATTGATCTTCACCTGATAATAAAAACAATTATGTTTATTGTAGAGAATTTGGGAAATACAGTAACATATAAAGATTAAAACAAAATTAGCTCCTGATCCTACAGCCTGAAGATCACTACTGACATCTTAGTGCCTTCCTCCCTAGCTGTGCTGTGTGCATCCTTATATACTTTTCATAACTAAGATTGCATTGCATGCACATCATGTCATGAGCAGTTCCTGTATCAGTTAAGACCTTTTTAAAAGCATATTTTTCAGGCTGGGGTTGTAGCTCAGTTGTGGAGCACTTGCCTAGCATGTGTGAGGCACTGGGTTCAATTCTCAGACCATATAAATAAAGGTCCATTGTCAACTTAAAAAAAAAAGAAAAAAAACCCCATATTTTTCAATAGTGCTTCCATATCCAATTATAATGAATTTAATATAATATTTTTGTAGCCATGTTTCTGTAGGTGGGTCCCTGGGTTGGGTGCCCTTGCAGGCTGTTGGGAGGGCCATATGCCAGAACCTGTCAGCAGTCCAGAACTATGACTGGAGCATGTCATTTGGCTGAGGCAGTCATCTTTAGGTCACTCATTTCCAGTTCTGACATATGTTTTGCTTGATCATCTGATTAACAGTTGGAAATTAAAAGCTAAAGTTGAGAGGGACACAGGGAACTTTCTGTTATAACAGAAATCCTCTGAATCTTGATGGATCACTGGATTCAAAGTCATAGTGTGCATTACTGTGCTAGAATAATGTTTAGAACTAATTTGTTTTTTGATATTCCTCAAAAGGTGTACTTAAGATTTGTGCATCTTTTTGTATGTCAAGTTGTCACGGTTAACATTTTGAGGACTGTGCCAAGGACATGACTTAAAATGGATGAGGAGGCAGCTCTCAGTGGGGCTTGCAGTACAGAGGTTTCTGGGTGGCTGCAGGAGACCCTCATGCAGCAAGTATTTCACAAAGTGGAGGGTGGCTTATGCCCCTTCCCAGCTGTGTCTGTAGCACCTCAACAAAAGTGGTCTTGACCACATGGAGGTCCCGTTCTGGTGGGAGACGGGCAGTAAGCAAGCAGACACATAGCTGCTAGGGTGAGAGCCACAAGGGTGATTCTGGGGATAGCAAAGAGGGGAGTTGATTTTGTCAAGGTTTCTGAGGGGAAGATACATGCAAAGACTAGGAGGAGGCGAGGGAGCAAGTTTCTCTGGGGAAAGTCAGTAACAGGCACAAAAGCCCCAAGGTTGGAGTGAGTTTGGTCGGGGACAGCAACAGGGCCCATGTCATAGAGTGGAATGAGCAAGAGAAAAGTGGCAGGAGGTGAGGTCAGTTGGGCAGGTCATGAGAGGCAGGCAGTGGAACCTGGAAGGCTTTTGGCTTTGTCTGAGACATGTCAGGAGCGTCCACATAATCTGATGTGTCCTGGAAGGGCCACTGTGACTGCTATGGGGCTGGCAAGACAGCCACTGCAGTGACTCAAAAGACTGTGATGTGGTCTGGCCTTAGGGGTGGTAAGAAAAGGGCAGATCCTTCCATTTTTTCAGTGGATTGAATATCTGGACATTGAATATCTGGTTGGGTCTGGAGGAGGAGGAGCTAAAGGTGACCTGGAGGTTCAGGCCTGAGCCTATGGAGTAGTAGTTTCTAGACTTGGGCAGCTTTGGGCAGAGAGTGAGAGCTCAGGTTTGCTCACAGCCAGGAGGGCTGTGCAATGGAACTCCTAGGAAAGGCGCTGGCAGAGGGTCTGGGTTTCAGGGAGCCTCCTGGGCCTGGAGACAGCCCCTAGCCCTGTCAGGAGGGTGGCTGCTGGGAGCATGTAGTGAGGAGCACGCTTTCCTCCCTCCTCTGCCCTCTCCTGGTGGAAGGTGCTGAACCTGGATCCAGCTCCCTGATTGGGGCTTCTCTGGTGGAAGATCCGCCGCAGAGGCTGCGGTGGCAGGCCCACCTAGAGTTCACCCACAATCATGACGTGGGGGACCTCACTTGGGACAAGATTGCAGTCTCCTTGCCCCGCTCTGAGAAGCTCCGCTCCCTGGTGCTGGCTGGCATTCCACATGGCATGAGACCCCAGGTGAGAGAGCCACAGGGAGTCACAGAGGGTTCAGAGCCTCTGACTCGGTGTCACAAAAAAGACTGAGTGCTCCTGTGCACCTTCCCTCAGCTGTGGATGCGGCTCTCTGGGGCCTTGCAGAAGAAGAGGAACTCCGAGCTGTCCTACCGTGAGATCGTGAAGAACAGCTCTAATGATGAGACTGTTGCTGCCAAACAGGTAATGTGGGAAGGTCGAGGGACAGGCAGGAGGAGCTGCCTGCAGACCATGTGGAGGGAGGGAGGTGTCACCTGGGTTCCTGGAGCACGCCCTCACTGGTCTCCTTGGCAAGGACAGCAGTGCTCTCACCTACACACATGACCCTGGAAGAAACTTGCTGTCTCCTAGGTACTTTGTAGGCTGCAGGGAGAATTCTCCCAGAGGTCCCCAGTATGTGGAAGGACTTGGAGAAGATGGGGTCCACATTAGGAATGGTGGGGATTTTAAACACACCCCCAGGCCGCAGGCTTTTTCAGTAGGTCTGGCATGAAGTTCCCAGGTGACTATGATACAGTTGGCGCCACATTTCCTGGGATCTGATCCTGAAAGGAGGAGGGGAAACTCCCCACTGTGGACCTCAGGCTACAGCTATGTCTCACAGGGTCATCTTGTGGGGTTGTCGTGGGTACCTGACAGATCGAGAAAGATTTGTTGCGCACCATGCCCAGCAATGCCTGCTTTGCCAACGTGAACAGCATCGGGGTGCCCCGTCTGCGCAGAGTCCTGCGAGCACTGGCCTGGCTCTACCCAGAGATTGGCTACTGCCAGGGCACGGGCATGGTAAGCACAGCCCCAGGAGGGCTAGTGGGGCTAGGGCTTGTACCCAAGGGTCTCTCCAGGCCCCCAATAGGTTATGTGATGACAGTCCCCAAGGAAGGCCAGGACAGTTGCTTCTGCTGTTAAAACAGAGCCCTGGGGACCTGAAATAAGGCAGGCCCCTCCACAGCCTGAGAAGGAATGTCTCCGGGAGTGTTCCCAAGAGGCTTTTCTTGACTAGTCTTCCCAGAGGGAATTCCTGTCCTTATTCACATGGAGACTTGGGTAGAAGTCCCTTGTCCCTCTTCCCTGGCCAGGTGGCTGCCTGCCTCCTGCTGTTCCTGGAGGAGGAGGATGCATTCTGGATGATGTGTGCCATCATTGAGGACCTGCTCCCTGCCTCCTACTTCAGCACCACCTTGTTGGGCGTTCAGACTGACCAGCGAGTCCTGCGCCATCTCATCGTCCAGTACCTGCCTCGTTTGGACAAGCTGCTCCAGGAACACGACATTGGTAAGGCCTGGCAGTTCTCTTCCTCTCTGGCCTTCAGGTCCTGGGACGCTGGAGCTCTGAGGCCTCTGGACATAGGCAAATGGCCCAGCTGTGGACATAGGAACATGCAGTCTATGTCCTTGTTCCATGGTATTCTCTGACCCCTTTCCCTCTGCCCTCTCACTACTCTTTGGGAAGTGTCTTGCCCAGGCTGCCTCCAGTGGGCTGTCCTTGTTGTCCCCAGCCCTGTTGGCTCTGGTATCTATTGCAGAGCTGTCTCTGATCACGCTGCATTGGTTCCTCACGGCTTTTGCCAGCGTGGTGCACATCAAGCTGCTGCTGCGCATCTGGGACCTGTTTTTCTACGAGGGTTCCCTGGTGCTGTTCCAGACCACGCTGGGCATGCTGCGCCTCAAGGTGCTCCCAGGCCCCTCCGTCTCCAAGCCAAGAAGGGGGCGTGTGTCAGGCACAGGGGCCATGGTGCCCTCCTCTGGGTGGATGTGGTGGGCTCCAGGCTCTGAGCCCAAAGTTGGTGGGCACAGGGGACATCCCCTTCCCTCCATTTCTGCACCTACCCAAGCTGCAGCAGGAGTGGCCCAGCCCTGGTCCCTGCTGAGGTCCCTGATTGTGGGTGGCTAGAGGATCTCCTTGGGCCCTGCAGAACCAGCCCCTACCCTATTAGCCATGCCAGAGGACCTAAGTCTCCAAGGACAGTGCCAGATGCAAGACCCCTCCCCTCTCTGTCTTTATGTGGTCTAGGAGGAAGAACTGATCCAGTCCGAGAACTCTGCCTCCATCTTCAACACACTGTCAGACATCCCATCACAGATTGGAGATGCAGAGCTGCTCCTGGGGGAAGCCATGCGACTGGCCGGCTCCCTCACTGATGTGGCTGTGGAGACCCAACGCCGCAAGCATTTGGCCTACCTCATTGCAGACCAGGGCCAGCTCCTGGGAACTGGCACTGCTGCCAACCTCTCTCAGGTGCATTAAGCAAGCACAGGCTCAGCCCACAGCAGGTGGTCCTCAAAGCCAGAGTGAGAAGGGCTGTGGGGAGCAGACTGGCTCTTCCCTGCTGTGCTATCCTCTATCCCTGACCCCAGCTCAGGGCCCAGCATGGCCCAGTCAGACCACTGTTAGGGGATGACACAGCCCTCCTCCATGTTGTGCATCCTGGCACTCTGAGCCTGGCCTGGTTTGGGAGGGGCACAGGCCTGCCCTGAACTGAGTACATCAGAGCTGGCCACAGGCCATTTCAGAGGAGTTAGTACTAGTAAAATACTGAGGGTCAGCATCCCCTTTGTGATGGGGACTGGCCCTGCTGACCCCCTCTTCCTGCCTGTAGGTTGTTCGGCGTAGGACCCAGCGGAGGAAGTCGGCCATCACCTCCCTGCTCTTTGGTGAGCACTGCAGGCAGCACCCTCACATAGGATTGTGGATTTGCACTTCTTCTCCTGGGGCCTGGGCAGGGGCGGTCACTGGAACTCTCTGCCTTCTAGGAGAGGATGACCTGGAGGCCCTTAAGGCCAAGAACATCAAGCAGACAGAACTGGTGGCTGACCTCCGAGAGGCCATCCTGCGCGTGGCACGCCATTTCCAGTGCATAGACCCCAAAAACTGCAGTGTGGTGAGCGACAGCTCCCCAGGCCAGACTCTGGGGCTCTTCTTCCCCAGCCTGGTCCTGGCACTGAAGCTTCCCCACCATGGTGGGCCTTCCATGCATCCTATTTCTGTCCTTTCTTGCAGGAGCTGACCCCAGACTACAGCATGGAGAGCCACCAGCGGGACCATGAGAACTATGTGGCATGTTCACGCAGTCACCGGCGTCGAGCAAAGGCCCTGCTAGACTTTGAACGACACGATGATGATGAGCTGGGCTTCCGCAGGAATGACATCATCACGGTGTGTATGGGGGGGCTTGGCACACCCTGCCACCGACTCCCTGCCTTGCCCCTTCCCTGCCGAGAGGTTCCGCTCTGTAAATATTGGGTCTTGGCCAAGCCTGCGTGCTGGGGACATGAGATGTGTGTGCATGGTGTGGGCTGAGTTCTGTCCCCTCTCTGTGTAGATCGTGTCTCAGAAGGACGAGCACTGCTGGGTGGGAGAGCTCAACGGCCTGAGAGGTGAGGCCCACATCTAGCCGCAGCCTGTCCTCCACTGTGCTGCCTGGCCCAAGGCCCCTGGCCGCCCTACCCTGCCCGCAGGTTCCTCGTGGCCTATAGGGAGAGCTATATCCTTAGCCCTGGGGAAGGGTCAGAACAGACACTGGCTGCCCCTCACGGGGACCTCTTCTCCCGTAGGCTGGTTCCCAGCCAAGTTTGTGGAAGTCCTAGACGAACGGAGCAAAGAGGTAAGAGGCAGACAGGGTAAGGCTGCTCCTGCCCCAACCCTGGGGACAGCAGGGGTGTGGCCTGAGCGAGTCCTGGCTTGTGGCAATGGCCACAGGACAGGGAAAAGGGTGGCTGGCAGCAAGTGTGGGTCTGAGCTTCTCAGACACATTCCCCCCATCAGTACTCCATTGCGGGGGATGATTCAGTGACGGAGGGGGTCACAGACCTTGTGCGAGGGACCCTCTGCCCAGCCCTCAAGGCCTTGTTTGAACATGGACTGAAGAGGCCATCCTTGCTCGGGGGTGCTTGCCACCCCTGGCTGTTCATTGAGGAGGTGAGTCACTTCTGGTCCCCTGCCCACATGGTGCCCATCCCATGCTCTGCTTGCCCTAGGGGTGGGCAGAGGAACTTTCAGGGTGGAGGTGTGTGCTCAGTTGGACCCTGTGGCTCTCACTAGCCCTTCCCGTCCCCACAGGCAGCAGGCCGGGAGGTGGAGAGAGACTTTGACTCGGTGTATTCCCGCCTGGTACTCTGTAAGACCTACAGGTAACGGGTGCTGTCTGGCATCCTCCTTCCTGTGTGGGAGGGCGGGGGTGACCCAGAGCCCAGAGCAACAGGGCAGTGCTGGATTTTGGTCCCCTCAGGTTGGACGAGGATGGCAAAGTCCTGACCCCAGAGGAGCTGCTCTACCGGGTGAGTTTGGCCACTCTGCCAGCCTGAGACATCTCGGTGGCTGGCAGAATGCTCCAGTAACAGCTGCCTCCTTTCAGGCTGTGCAGTCTGTGAACGTGACCCACGATGCGGCACACGCACAAATGGATGTCAAGCTCCGCTCACTGATCTGCGTGGGGCTCAAGTAAGTGGAGAGAAGTGGGCAGGAAAGGGACCTTCAAAGGGGACCCCAAAGAATTGAGAGGCATCCTCAGGGCATCTGGCACTTTGAGTTCTGGCCTCTGAGTGTGTGCAGAAGCTGAGAAGGGGAGCAGGTTGGGGGAGTCTTGAGGGGGCCATGGCCCTGCCTCCCGCTCCTCCCAGCCTTGTCACCCAGTGAGCAGGTGCTGCACCTGTGGCTGGAGGTGCTCTGCTCCAGCCTACCCACTGTGGAGAAATGGTATCAGCCCTGGTCCTTCCTGCGCAGCCCTGGCTGGGTCCAGATCAAGTGCGAGCTCCGGTGAGACTGGCTCTTGGCAGGTGGCACGCCCTGTAGACCCCTTGGATTTGGGGTGGGAGGTGGGCAAGATGGTCCAGGGTGATGAGAGCCTCCCACCCCCTCCCCTAGGGTCCTCTGCTGTTTTGCCTTCAGCCTGTCCCAGGACTGGGAGCTCCCTGCAAAGAGAGAGGTGGGTGGTGTGTGGCTGGTCCTTAGCCCTATTTTCCCCAGGAGGGCTGGGGCCCGTGCTGGGGGAGCATCCCCAGGGGTTCTGGGCATGGCTGGGGTCCAGAGGAGGCCTCTGAGTGCATCAGCTCTGGGGATTGCTCTGGCCCCAGCCCACATCTGATAGGCTCTCCTGTACCTGTACACAGGAAGAGAGGCAGCCACTCAAGGAGGGTGTTCAGGACATGCTGGTGAAGCACCACCTTTTCAGCTGGGACATAGATGGGTGATGCTTCTGCAGCCGCCCTCTCAGGCCCAGGCCTCCCCCAGCCAGGCCCTTCCTTCAAACAGGAAGAGAGTGGTACCACCTGCTAAGCTGTGGGGTCCAGGGAAGGAGAAAACTCCAGAGCCATGTCTGGGCCCATGACCAGGGTTCAGGATTTCTTACTACAGGTTCCCACTGTTGGCAGGAGGAGGGTGCCCAGCTCAGCCTTTCCCTCCCAGGGTCCTAAGGAAGCCCTGGCCAGCTGCACAGTTCATATTAACCAAAAACCTTATGAGGTGGTGGTGAGCTGCATCTGTTGTCTTTGCTCAGGAAGCAGGGGTGTTTAATGGCAGATAAAGACCCCTTGACCTCTGGTTTTGTTTGTAAATAAACAACTCTTTTAAGAAAAGCGCCTCCCCTCTTCCACTCAGCCAGGCTGCAGAGCTGCAGTCCCCCCTCTCCCCCCACCCTAATCAGCCTGACAAGGAGCTGAGATAGGGGTCACTGTGTGGCCTCCAGATACAGGTTCCTTTATCACAACCACTTACCTTCTATAGATCAAACAAGACACACAAGTCAGTGTTTTTGTTTTATTTTAAAAAATTCACACAGCTTCCCCACCTTTGTCCCAGCACTGGTTTTGGAGACACCATCCCTATTCCCCTTATGAATCAGGCCAAAAGTGAGTGAGGCCAGTGGCCCCAGGACAAGAGGCAGCCAGTGAGTGGCCCCCTGTCAGCCCAACAGCAAGGTGGAGCTGGGTCCCCTGTCCCAGGGCCCTCTTGGCTGCAGTGAGGCAATGGGACGGAATGTGGGTGGGTGGAGAGCTCCTGACAGGACCAGGAAGCACCTCTGCCCTCTTGGCACTGAGGAAGCAGGCAGGACAGGTGGGGTGCACGCTGTGGCAGGATATCTACATGTCAAACACACGTGAGGGGTGGGTGGGCCCAGGCAGCTCTGCACACCAGGCTGGGTACTGGGCACTGTATATATATCACACAGCTCAATATGACCCTGTATCTAGCCCCCAGCAACCCTCCTGGCCCATGTATATGTGAAAGCAGGAAGGGAGGGAGCCACACCCATCTCCCACCTTCCCCCCCCCAAAATAAATGTATATATGTATGTTATATAATATAGAGGTATATACATACACCTGTACAGAAAATCTTGCCAACCAACCACTAAATGGTTACACTGTTACATCAAGACACTAAAATGGCAGGGGGCCCAACTCTCAGGAAGCCCTGGGGCCCTGGGGGCTGGCCAGCTAATACACGGAATGGGGAGTATAGGTCCAGGCTAGCTGCTTCTCTCACAGCAGAGGGGTAAGAGAAAGAAGAAAAGTCAGCCCTTGACCCAGCTCAGCCCTAGACCAGCAGAAGATTCTCAGGACAGGGCCTCACCTGCCTTAGCCAAACTGCAGCCACACACTACAACTCTGACCTCAAAAAGGAGGTCAAATTGAAATGGCCCTGGGCCTGTCCAGGCCTCCAGTGTGGGACCCAGAGCTGCTGCTTGACAGGTCATCTCTGCCCTGGGTGGGCCTGAGCCAGGAGTAGGGCCCAACTGCTCCAACCTTCCAGGGAAGGGAGAAAGCAGGGACTGTGATTGTCAAGACTCAAGCCACACAGAGCCTTGCACAGAACTGCTAGCTGCAGTTCCCTGGCTCCCCAACTCTAGCCCCTTCCCTATCCCTGGTGTCCAGAGCTAGAAAGCTACAAGCAGGAATCCCAGTGTAGCTGAAGATCATGGCCGTCAAGGAAGTCCGTGGAGAAGAGGCTGGGGGCTGCAGTGCTGAGGGGTGCCAGGCTGAGCACGGGGCCGCCTGATGACAGCTCCAGCCAATCCATGCTGTCCAGGTGGCCATCGGCCAGGTCCAGGCCCACACTGCTGCTGGGCTCAGGGGCAAAGTGCAATTCTGAGGTGTCCATGGGGGATGGGGGATGGTCCAGAATGGCAGCACTGCTCAGCATCTGGCTATGGAGGTCATCAATAAGGGAAAGAGGCTCTGGCCCTTCATGCCCACTGGTCAGCAGGGGCAACCCTGTGCTGCTCTCCAGGAAGTCCTCCAGGCGCCCTGGGAGGGCAGGTGATGCTGGTGGAGGGGGAGCAGCCTGAGGAAGGTCAGGGGAAGGCGATGGCTGTGTCGCCAGTGGGGAACTGCAGGCTGCTGATGAGGGTGGCTTCTCCTTTCCTGGTACCGACGGTGGTTCCTTGAAATCTGCTGAAATTTCTGCCAATTGAGACAGACAGTGCATTGATGTCAGAAACCAGACCTGAATGCATGCCAAAGAATGATCAGAGACCCTTACCTCATACTATAGAAAAGAATAAAATAAAAGTCTTAAGTGTACAAGCTAAAGCTATGAAACAGGGGAAATCTATGACTGATGTGGCAGTAATTTCTTGGTTGTGACAGCAAAAGCACAGGCAGACAAGTTAGACTACATCAAAAGTTAAGACTTTTGTACCTCCAAGGACACTACACCAAGAGTGAGTGAAAGGGCTTCTCACAGAATGAGAGGAAGTACTTACAAATCATATTTGATAGAGGATTACTACCCAGGATTTATAAAGAACTACAACAGAAAACAACCTGATTCAAAATGGGCAGAGTACTCAAATATTTTTTCCAAAAATGCTGAATGTGGTATGTATGGCACACACCTATAACCCCAGCTACTTGAAAGGCTGAGGCAGGAGAATTGCAAGTTCAAGGTCAGCCTCAGCAATCAGCTTGGAGACCCTGTCTTAAGACAAAAGTAAAAGGCTGGGGGTGTAGCTGAGTGCTGAAGCACCATGGGTCCAGCCTCCAGTCCTGGGGGGCGGGGTCAAGAGGAGACACCTCCAGACATCACACACACAAGGCCGAAAAGATGCTCAACATCTCAGTCATTAGGGAAATGCAAATCCAAACATGAGATTCTACCTCATACCCATTAGAGTGGCTGTTATCCAAACAACAGAGAAGGAGGAGTGGCAAGGAGCTGGGAGGTGGTACAGCACATGACTGGAATGCACAAGGGCCTGGGTTTGATCTCCAACACCAAAAAGGAAGTCAACGTTGGTGAGGATATGAAATGAGAACCCTAGTGCACTGTTAATGGAAATGTAAAATGGTCCAGCTACTTAGGGAAAAGGCTTGGGTAGGCTCTACAAAAACAAACGATATGATTCAGCAGTCCTGCTTCTGGGTACACATCCCGAAGAATGGAAAGCAGTGGTATCTCAGAGAGACCCTCAGACACTCAGGATGACAGCACTGTTCACAGCAACTCAAGCAGCCCCACGTCCACCAACAGATGACCGGTTGGACCTTGAAGACCCAGTACTAAGTGAAATAAACCACAAAGAGACAACTATGATTCCACTTATGTGAGGTACTTTGTCAAAATCAGATAGCAGAACAGGGGTTAGTGGGCGAGGAGAATGGAGTTTCTAATGGATACAGTTTCAGTTTGAGGTGAGAAGGTTCCAGAAGCAATGTGGCATACATCCAGAACATACTTAATGCCTCTGAATTTATATTTACAGGTGGTCAGAATGGCAAATTCTGTTATTATATACATCTTACTTATCACAATAATGAATGTGTTACTACATAGAACCAGGCTTGTTCCCTGACCCCAGTCTAGGTCCCTACTGTCCCAACTGAACACCTTCCCCTGCAGCTGCTTCACTAGACAAGGAGCCTCAGCCTCCAGCCATCACCACCTGCCACTTTCAAATACCTTCCTCTCTCGGGATTCTTGCTGCTTTAGTGACCCTTTGAGGCAGGCCACACCTCATCTGTTTTTCTGCCATTTTTTAAAATACTAGAATTCAAGGATCACCCCCTTTTCCTCCTCAGTCTCTGTTCCTGGGCAACAGCATCCCTCCCAAGGTTCGTTGTGGACATGGTGGCACCCAGAGCTCAAGCCGAGGCCTCTCCTCGGCTCCCAGCCCAGCAGTTCCACATCAGCAGGTTCTGGGTCACCTGCACTGGTCAGAAACAGTTCAGGCCCTACCACAGGGCCTGTACCTGAAGATGCCCCTGGGGCTTGAGAATCATTGAGCCCTTATTTTATAAACTGTCACAAACTTCGCCATTTTTGAAGTACACTGTTCTGTGGCTGAGCTCTGTGTCACCTGCCCCATTGCACTCAATCCTACCCATCAGAAAGGATTCTCCACGCTTGGTGCATGAACTCTACAGACCCACCACATCTGTACCATGGGTTCTGCCCTCTTTCTTACTGCCACCATGGAAGTCCCCACACTCCTCCCAGAAGCTGACCCCTCCACTCCAGCCACAGGGACCTTCTCCCTAAGCTAAGGGGTTCCCTCTCCACCATACCACCTCCTGTATGTGACAGTGCTCAGCAAACAAGCTGTTGCTTTTCCCACCTGCCCTAGTTCCTTGCCCCTGCTCTGCAAGAAAACTCCCAGGGAGCGTGACCACTGGTGACAGCACAATGCTTGCTCCCCACCTCGAGATCAGGTCTCAGACCTCACCCACCTTGCCCATGCTGGTTTCTAGGGTGTCACATCTGCCCACTGCTTGGCCTCATCTACTTGTCCCTCTCTTTCACAAAGGCCAGGGCTCTGGCGCCCACCCTTCCTGCTCTAACAGGCTCAAATCTCCAGACAACTGGCTCCAACTGCAATTCTGGGCACCACAGATTCCAGCCCAGATCTACTGGAACCAGCCACCCCAAGGCCACCCAGCTGCCTCCTGACAAGTATCTCCCCACTTGAGGCTGCACCCCACATGGCCCGTGGGCAATGGCAACCGTTTCTTGAGGCCTCGGGCCACAGCCCTGAGTCATCCTTAGCCATTGACTTCCTCACTACACCTGAGGCACAAGAACACGAACCAAAGGCCCACTCTCCAGGGCCCAGGCCCCTACCCCTGACAGGGGTCCCTGCAATGGCCATAACTTCCACAGCACTGAAGGAGCCTGGGTCACACCCAACAGAACCACTCCGCTCTGGGTTGCGCATACCACCCTGGAGCCAGGAGGCCTCCTTGCCGCCCCATCCCCCACCACCCTGCTACCACCCCTAGGGCACCTAGCAATGGCCTCAAGGCGCCCTGCTTGGGGCTGCTCCTGAGCCTCTCCACGGCCACACCGCCACACCTCCACACCGCCCTCTCCCTCGCTGCATTCTGTCCTAACACCACCAGCTCTTGGTCCAGACACTGAGCTTATTCATTATATTTGCTGTTTCTCTCCCACCCTGGACTGAGCTCCACAAAGGTGAAAATCTCTTGCATTCCAAGGTGTCCTGGGGGCCAAGTAAAAGGAACATTTACAGAAGGACTCCACTATCACAGCCCTTGTATAGTCCAGTGTTCAAGAAATCAATCCATGCTGGACCCAGTGGTGCACACCTGTGTCTCACCAACTCAGGAGGCTGAGGCAG